AACTATTGATATTGTTGTAAGAAAAATCATAATTATGAACACATCAACCGTATAGGGTAGTCGGAGGATGACATGGAATGGGGTGGGGTGGGAAGGACGGATGAGGGGAAGGTGGCAGGAAAAATACTTGATATCGGAGATCTGTTTTCGAAACATCCAATAGATATGGTAGGGGTGGGTTTAGGGTAGGAAAATACTTGATAATGCACTCAATATCACTTAATACATTTAGTCCGTGCTGGGTGTGATAAATAAGGCATATCTTTAGCGGTAATGGAACTGACAACATGGCAACCGTACTAACTTCATACAACCGGTCCCAGCCGTGTTTAATCATTAGTCAATAACTTATTCCCCTAATACAGTACTTACCCGCTTATAAGAACCAAGTTTTTCAAATTTAGCATAAACGGGTTCTTATATAAATGGTGCTTAGTGAAATTTTAGGCTAGGCAGATTCTTAAATAGGTTCTTATTTAATGAGAAATATATTATACACCTTTGAATAGTAGAAAGGTGGCATRTGTTTTCATACATTATTAATACCAAACTAATTTATAGGTGTACATACAGGTTCAAGTTCATTACTTTTGAGTCATGTGGTTTTGCATGAAGATTTTTGACGTTAATTTCTATAGGGACCTTTCTATAAGAACCTGTTTCAAATTTTAGGCTAAATAGGTTCTTATGTAAATGGTGTCTATATTGATATTTTTAGGCTAACTGGCTCTTAAATTGCTGGTTCTTATAAGGGGGATAAGTATTGTAGTTTGCTCGCGGAGGATGCTGGTAATATACCTGCATAGGGTTGGCAAACTATCCAGGTATTCTGGCCCTGGTAATCGTCCTGGTAATCCACATAGAATTTACGACACTGTGACGTTCTTTTTTCAAATCCCTGGCAATGTATCCACACTCGATAGCTGGTGGTTCTGCCATCTTTGAACGTGTTGAATGTAATAGTGTGATCATACCCCAACATGCGACAAACTGCATGAACGTCATTCAACCGAAGCTCTTGCAGAGGAAAATATTCCACAAGTAGAAATACTGGTCTCCATAACCCATAGTAGCGCATTTCCAGTCTTCCTGCATGAGGTACTGATCCATTAACGAGGCGAAATGCAACATTCGGTGATCCTTAAGAAGGTTAATTGATAAATTAAACGTCCTTTGATAAACATGAAAACACAGACTGATCTGTTTTACCAGTCTAATAAATAATGGTCAACACTAATGACAATCGATGAATATAGTCAATTAAAAGACAATAGAATAATGACAGATTTATAGTTTCATTAAAAAAAAAAAACAACCTAAAATCAGAAATAAACCACGGACAGGAAAGATGTAAGCATTACAACTACTATCAACATGGAATTTCATATCATATTTTCGCCTCTGTAATTAGTATGTAGCAAACGTTGTAATTTTGATATTAAACTTCCTCTAAACTGCAATAACTTCAAACAACGGCTCTATGAAGGCCGAAACACGTCTCGTTTTTTCATAGTTTTTGCAAAAATTAGTGTACCTGATTTGCAAACTACTCCTGCTGTCTTGTTATCCGAACAAGTCGCTTGTCCCCAGTTTAGGTTCCAACATGTTTCKATTGACTGTTCGTAGGAATTGCAGGAAGAACTTGAAAGCCACACTTCGCCAGAGCCCTCGAAGCGACGGAAGTATGCAGCATGACCATCAGGATAACCAGCCATTCGACAAATGACTTTGGCAGAATTAGAATACCAATTGGAGTCACAGAGGTTTTTCCAGACACCTTTGTACAACAATTGTACTCGACCAGCATTAGGCACATCACCAATCAGTCGAACTTTGACAGGAGGACCTGCATTTAAYGATAKATTTGTAACAACGAGGGCGATCGTYATGATAGAAATGATGYCAGAGAGCAAAAATCCCTGAACATCATTTATTACTTACTTTTAATCTACAATTAGTTCTACTATTTTCTATTGTCTCATTATGGATACTTTGTACAAATGAGTACTAGTAGAATTCTTTCACGGATTTAGGGTGAGAACTCTATGATATTCATTATTAGTATAAACATATCAATGGTCTATCACTCATACTGCGCTGTGATTGGCTACTCCACTAATGGTCTAATTTGTGATAGACCACTCGCGGGAAAATTAATCTCATWAATRAATTATTTTAAGGACAYTTCGATTTGTTTTCATTATTTGACCGATTAGTATGTTTATACTAAAACAATTAGACCTTTCGGCTTCGTGGACTACGAGTGACTCGGCCTCATGGGCTATTAGCTCGTAGTCCACTCGACCTCGAGGTCTAATTGTTAATAAAACAAATTATCAGT